TTTAGTTCGAAATTAAGCATTAGGAAATGGTGTACTGCATCTTCCCTGTTTTTTGTGCTTCCATTTCCCCAACAAACAACCTAACTTTATCAGGTTGTTTGTTCAATTTGCTAAGTTTCTTTTTTGCGTATTTGGATTGTAGTTAGTGCTAAATAATTCACAACTTCTTTTCTATAGACGATTTATTTATTTTGCGGGTTGATATTTTGTAAAGCGGTTTATATAATGATCGATGATTCCTTAAGAGCACATTCCAATCTTGTCCTTGAAAACTTTTTTTAAATGACAGTTTCTGATATCAATCTACTAAAATTTGGAAAATGGCCATCTTTTTAATTGTGAACTGCGTTTCACTAATGGGTATTGGCCATCTTTTTGTGTGTTAGTGGGACATGAAAATATGCATACCACGTACACTCCAACTCTGTAGCGTTTTCGAATTCTGGCCTCTTCCTTTTTCCTCTGTTTGATTCTTTGTTATTGTATTTACTTCTACGACTAGCGACCTTTTAAGTTTAATTGTTTCCTATGTAGTGCAATCTGGGCTAGTCCTACTTCCCCTTTTTGCTTGTCGAGGTTGAATAATTATTAGCTCAATTCTGTTGCCATCGAGGTTTTGACTCATAAGTGTATACTATGCGCATACCATACTCGTATTCTTGGTATTCAGTAACATCACATTAATTAATTGAATACTGCAGGCGTAGCATACAACATACTTGGATAATTATGGCACGAAAAAAGCGGGTAGATTCAGATGATGATAGCGACTTCAGCTCAGGTGACGCTTTGATTTTCACATTTCCCAGATCTGCCTGTTCTTCATTACGAAACGGTGTACCGTTGAAAATTCGTTTAGATGACGATAAACCCAAGAAGAAAACTGCTAAGAAACGACATCCGTCGCCAGCAAAGTCGCCACCAGGTCTTAAGAGGAAGCAATCCAAACCCAATACACCAGCTAAGGTCACCAAAGCGCTCTCGAAGGACAACAAGAAAAAAGGAGAGCAAGTATGTTCACCTAACTTCTGTAGAGGTGTTGTCTATGTTCCCAAGTTTGTTTTATTTCTTGCATGTCTTCACCTACAAATTTGTAAGACATGGGAAATTCGTTTGTCACGTTCAATTTATCTTCCTGCTAGTCATTTTAGCAGTAGGTCACAGTTTACTCGCTGCGGCAAATCAATTTAAAGGCTTTTTGGAGATGATATATTCTACCTTACAGTAGTTTCGACTTTATATTCGATCATGCGTTATACGTCCACTGGTTGTTTTCTCCGATTACTGGCTTCGTTCAGAGACAGGACAGCAGTTCATCTGATGAGCAAAATGAATTTGTCGAAGAATTCGAAAGCGAAGACCTTCTGCGGATGGTACACGATTTTAATTTTATTATATCCACTAGAAATTGATGCTTTTAACTTCAGGTTATCCCTCCGAGGCCACAACCGTGCATGAAACCGGACGGTAGCGGTGCGAGACTTGTCATCAAAGAAATCGTTGCCACCAATTTCAAGTCTTACTTTGGACGGCAGAGAATCGGTCCCTTTCATAAGGTTAGAAATCCCGCTTCGCTGAAATCCGGAATCCGATGCTGCTGTTTCGAGTAATTACTCAATGATAAGGAAGAGATACTGCAATCTTTATTGACTTATATGCAAATATTGAGAAAGGAGTAAGCTCAAAGGTCGTGAAGCTAAAGACCGATTAGAAAGGTCGTCAGCAGAGAATTGTGTTCAAGTTTTTCAGAATTTTACTGCCATCATTGGTCCCAATGGCTCAGGGAAGAGTAACGTTATTGATTCGTTGTTATTCGTGTTTGGTTACAAGGTACATTTCTAATTATTCGTACCTTCGGTTCCCTACCACTTCGCCAATATTATCATTATTTCCTCCGTTAAGGCCTCGAAGATTCGTTCCAAGAAACTTTCCGTGCTGATACATTCCTCTAGAGGCCATGATGATATCAATAGCTGTTCTGTAGAAGTATTTTTCGAACAGATCATCGACAAGGTGCGTTCGTCAACCGATTCTTCGTAAAATGAATATCCCATGCTGTTCTCTATCAATGTTAGACTTTTCTTTCTCTAGATTGGTTATGGACCCTATTTCGATCTTTTATTGGCCTCCTTAGTTTTGCTAGTGTTCTTGATCTTACATTTGTTCTTGTCAAGATACAAAAAATACCAAGTGCCAAAAAATTTTAAAGGATGGTCACTTCGAAGTGGTTGAAGGTAGCGAGTTCAGCGTTTCAAGGACTGCTTACAAAAATAACAACAGTGTGTATGCTTGGAATGGAAAGGTGAATCTAATCATTTTTCTCCAAAGTATGCGTAATGAGTTCGTATTTCATCTTTAAGACAATGTCTATAAAAGAAATTGCTGTCCGATTGAGAGATCTTGGAATTGACTTGGTTCACAATCGTTTCCTCATCCTGCAGGTTTGGTTTTATGCTTGAGTTCATTCTTTCGTCTAAACTATACAATACTAATCTAGGGAGAAGTGGAACAAATCGCTATGATGAAGCCTAAAGGCGAAACTGCACACGAAGAAGGCATGTTAGAATACTTGGAAGATATCATCGGTTCTAGTCGATTTCGGGTCAGTTTAGAAGCAGTATATGCCTTCAGATATGAATACGTCATACGTTTAGGTTCCCATTGAAAAGTTATCCGCAAAAGTCGAAACCCTGAGGGAGCAACGATCACAAGCTTTGCAAAGGTTTCATTTTTATAAATTGAATTTTCAAATTCTCTTAGTTAACCAAGGATTTTCGATCTTCAGACACCAGTGAATCTTTGTTTGTTATTGTGTGTTTCTTAAAATTACAAAATATCTTGCCATCAGCAAGAATTTTTGTACCTCAAAGAGGATACGCTTGTGATGCAACTTTCTAGGGCACTGTCGACCTATGAGACAAAAATGGAAACCCCAAATTTGCCTTCGTCAACATCACCTTTCTATTCGAAGATCATCATTAATTGAATCTTTCAGGGTTCGTGTGGCCGATAGGGAGAAAACAGCTTTGGAGGCACCAGTCCGTGAAATGATATCGTATTTGAAGGCAGAAAATCATGCTGTCCTTCTAAGAAACCAGCTTCTTCATATTAAACTGTGTGTTTGCGAAATTTCCTACTAATGTAGTGATCGATTCAGTTTGCTCAAGAATAAGTTTTCTTTTATTTAGGTTCAAGATTTTGGAAGAAGTTGAGGTAGTTCAGCCACTTCGAGATGCTGCCTACGAAAAGAAGGCTGAGGTCGATAAAGCATTGAAAGAGGTTCTTGACGCTAGGGAAGCGGATAATGATCGACTTGAAGCTGCTCAGAGGTATTGCTCAGTCTATTGGTAGCAATATAAAAGCTTACAAGTATATTTTGTGCAAATACAGGGACGAGGCCCGTGTTCGTGAAGATGAAAAGGCTATCCGTGATGAAATTGGCGCTCTTGAACGATCTTCTAAAGCGCGAACTAACACCATGAAGAGGAACGTTGCTGACATTACTCGTGTTGCTGATGAAATTGAGAAAGAAAAGTTAAAGGTGATAGAAATGAGCTTCTGTTTTGTACACGTTGCCTGAGTTCATTTTCACGTTGCTCTCTGCAACGGTTGTATTGTTGGCTGTAGTGCCTTCGTTTAGCTCGAAGAGTTGAAAGGAGTTCCCGCGAAAGCTGCTGCTAGACTAGAGGTTCTAAAGGCCTCTATCACTGAACTAAACGAGCTCGAACGCGACAATATTAAAAAGGTACATTTGGATTTTTTTGAACCATTTTAGTATGAGCCCGCTATATGCTGTAAATTGTTTATACAGGCCGATGACAATCGTGATAAGTTTGACCGCAAAGCTGGACCTGAAAAGGCTGAAAGAGCACGTCTTGAGGAAGAAATGGGAGTGCTCGTTCTAAAGGAAGTCGATGCTAAAAACAAGGTATCTTTCTACATCGCTGGAATCAAAATTTTTCACAAAAACGCATTTAACTCGTTCAGATCCATATTGCAAAGGAGACGCTGAAAAACATGACACATGAGGAGACTAAGTTAAGGAAGCGATTAACTGACTTCCAGAACAATCTGTCTACATGGAAAGAAGAACTTGAAAAGAAGACTGGGTTTGTGGTTTTCTCTAAATCTTGAAAGCTATCTAATCTCGTAAAGGATGTGAAAAAGGAACAGCCTTGGATTATTCTGTTACCATTCAGGGAAATGGACGAGCTGAAGGAATCACTTCCTCGCGTTCAGGAAGAACTTGCACAGGCCCGAGCATCTCTTCCGGGAATAAAGGAAAAGGAGGACAAGCTTATGGAGGAGGTAAGTGAACGTCGATATGTAATTTCCTCTTCCTGGTAGCCAATTGCAGATTAATTTTTGGTAATTATTTCAGGTGAATGTGTTGCGTGCTAAAGTTTCTGAAGACAAACAGCTTGTATCATCGGGGCTAGCTGGAACAGAACGTCAGAAAGCACTGGCCAAGGCAAAGAGCGAAGGACTACTCAAGGGTCTGATTGGAAGATTGGTAAGGTTTTGGTGAGATCCCATTCGACGACAAATTGTGAAACTCAGACTTATAATTGTGCGCTATGTACTCTTCTTCATATAGCAGTTCTTTGGATGCTTACTTCTTTTTTATCCCTGAATTAGATTCCTACACTTTCTCCACTGGTTGCTGTTCTGACATTCTTACTCGTGTTTAGGGTGATCTTGGTACGATTGACAAAAAGTATGACGCAGCCATATCCACAACGACAGCAGCTTTGGACTCATATGTCGTTGAAACAACGAATGATGGTCATGAAGCTATTGATTACTTAGTGAAGGTAAACAGTTTTTCGGTTGTGCTATCAAGTAAAAGAATAGTTTGTTGTTTCAGAAGAATCTCGGTCGTACAAACTTTATAATTTTGGACAAGACGAGTGAATTCAAGGATAGCATGGATACGAAGAAGAAATTGTAGGTTCCATTCATCAAATTTTATTTATTTAAATTGATTTCAATTTTGATCTCTTTTGTATTTTCCTTAATTCAGCCCTGCACCGCGATTGTTTGATCTCATTGACATTCCTGACCCACGCCTCAGAAAAGTTTTCTATTCAACTGTTTTCGACACTATCGTCGTTGATACTCTGAAGGAAGCTACTGATCTCTCGCGTACGGATCGATGTGAGTTGAACTTTGTGACACTTCAATTTTTGTATTCAACAGCTACTTCGTAGCACGCGTGCGAAACTGGGGATATAGCGTATGCGTGACTTTTGCCGAAATCTCGGTTGGAGTGGAGATTATAGGGTACCCCAAATCACATAGCCATTCATAGCTTATGTTTTCAAAAAAAAAATTGGTAAGTTTTTACATATAGGTATGCTGAGGCTCACCAAAATAGTGTATCGTGTTAAACCCTAATACGGTGTTTGTGATATCTTTTGCAAGACATTTTCAGCGTTGCGTATCGTAACCCTCCTTGGTCAGGTTGTTGATAGCTCTGGTACTGTATCTGGTGGAGGTGCGCCTAAATAGTGAGTTGAATTTTCTGTTACGAGTGTTTTCGCCTAGGAAAAGTCCGATTGAGAAATATTGTTTGCAGTGGTCTTATGGGTAACAAAGAGAAAGGAAAAGCAGATCAAGCGCTCCGTGAAGCGCAAAATAGGCTTCCAGCGCTCATTAAGGAATTAGATGAAAAGAATGAGAAGCTTGCTGAAACATCACATGCTTGTCGTCAGGTAATCAGAGCCTATAATATGATTTGTAATAATACAATCAGTCCAAAAGATGTGGTAATTCGGCTTATACGTTCAATGTTTTTAGATGGAGCAGCGAATCTTTGCCTTAAGTAATGATGCAAATCGATTGCGTACACAATACAACGCCTGTGACAACGAAATTCTTGTAAGTGGTTACTTTAAGAGTTTGTAGTTCGAGATTGAAAATAGCCAGGTCAGTTGGAAGCATCTAGAAGCATATATTGAACTAAAACAGGGCTTAATATTACACACAAAAAAAATGGAATATACTCTTGTTTTCTGGTCGAATTGTTAGTTTTCCAATGCTTATAGAAACTTACTGAACGAATCTCTCACATGGAAAAGCAAGTGGTTTACGTCAGTGAGCAGCTACAAAAAAACCTTGCTGATGAAGATGAAGTTGCGGCAAAGAAAGCTGAGATTGAAGCTGCGACTATAGGTGGGCTCCTTAAAATCTAGAAGCATTTTTTTGACGTACTTTGACTTCCTTTATGCCATACTGATGTCAACTTGGTATTTAAGAGAGAGAAGAATGTGCAAAAGAAGTTGCTGCTGCCAAAGCCAAAGTTGACGTAGTGGCTGCAAAAGTAAAATCTATATTTCATGAATTTGTTCAGGTATGAGTGTTGACTTTTTCTTTCCAATCCAGTAAAAGTAAAAACCTATATTTCGTCTCATTGCAGAAATATCTCGATGAAGCAGATACTGCGAAAAAGAGGAGGCAAGAAATTGAAGAACAGGCTGTAAAGGAACGTGTGAGCATTGACCTGAACGAGCACAATATGGAAAAAGTAAGTCAATCCTCGTTGCAAACTATTTGACAAGCGGCGCTGTTGTGTACTGTTTGGCAATTCCATTATATCGTTGTAGGTCCAAAACCGGATCAAGTTCCTTGAGAAGTCCTTGGCTGAGAAGAAAGCAAAAGAAAAGAAGCTCACGGAAGAAGAGGAGAATCTTCCAAAACAGCTCAGCCAGCTCAAAACTCAGCAAATTGACTTAAAGGTAATGTACCTCTTGGAAGGCGTGCCATATCTTTGAATCGCTTTCTCTGGTTCTGTGCTATTTTTGTTCTTGTTGTGTTCATTCTTCCCTTCAATTTTTAAAATCCATACTACCTAGTTGAGAGACGTAAGCGTAACTCTCATACGAATTGCTTATACATTAAAAACTATTATAAAAGTATATTTCCAGCGAAAACTCAGTGAGATCGAGGAGTTTCTCAAAAACACACGGCAGCGTAGGGAGGATTTCAACCGGGACGAACTCAAATATCTCAAAGAACTTAAGGTGAGTGTTTCTCGAAATGAGAAAGGCGTTGCCAGATGCAGGTTCTACACCCTTTATTCCAGATATGCACAGACGATTTAGCTGAAAAGGAAGGAAACTTGAAATCTCTTCAAGTGGAGATCGACAAGTTGAAAAAGCAAGTGAGTTTGGGGAAGACATATAAATAAGGTCGACTGTAGCACTACCATATCTGCTTCAATCATGTTCAGATGGAAGCCTTGACTTTGCACCAGACCCAGGACTTCGATATCATTCCAAAACCGGTGAAACCTCGTCACGCGAACGATTCTTTTGACGACTCACTGTTAGGAGACCTAGCTCCCGTGGAGAAAGAGGCTGAGAAGAAAGGAAAGAAGGTGAATTATGTTGCTGCTNACTCACTGTTAGGAGACCTAGCTCCCGTGGAGAAAGAGGCTGAGAAGAAAGGAAAGAAGGTGAATTATGTTGCTGCTTTAGTCTCGTCACTTTTTCCACATGCTCATTTCTTAACTGATGGAGTAGCTGAGCCTCAAAAGCAATCTCTGCATTCTATTCCTGTTTGTAGACACAGGCTATGAACGGAGTTGAATATTTCACAATGGATGCGCCATACACCGCATTCGTTTAGACCTTTTTTGGTTCATTGTTGATCATGAGTATGCCTTCGTAGTGACCACTATTAGCGATAAATTTAGCGTGATAAGCGAAAAGGCGGTGATGCAGAAGAGGAGTACCTGGGATCACCTGATGGCACGGTGCCCAAATTGACTCGAGAGGATGTGGCAGAACTAGACAGAGAGCACATTAAGTTCACACTGACAAATCTTGAACAGAAGCAACTCTCCACTCGAACCGACATTAATATGCATGTCATTCATGACTACAAGGAAAAGGTTCGTTCCTATTGGGAGCTAATAGAAGAGCTGTAGTNGACATTAATATGCATGTCATTCATGACTACAAGGAAAAGGTTCGTTCCTATTGGGAGCTAATAGAAGAGCTGTAGTCCACAATCCATGCGTCTTGGTTTTTAGCTCAAGAAGCTCGAAGGAGAACGAGCTGTGCTCGACGCAGCCAGGGAAACTATGGAAGAACATATAGCCGTGTTGGACAATATGCGTAGAGATCGTTTGGTTGAGTTTATGGTATGTGCACTGGAGTCAAGCATAATTATAATAGAGCAGTAATCATGTTCGAAATTTTTTAAGGATGGCTTTGAAAAGATAGGTCTTGGCTTGAAAGAAATGTACCAAATGATCACTCTCGGTGGTGATGCTTCTTTGGATCTGAAGGATTCCATGGACCCATTCACGCAGGGCATTCAATTTATGTGAGTTTTTCTTTGTGTTACGATGATAGTTTGCATATAGCGAACTTATAGTGGTCCTATACACTTTCAAATATGATATGAAGAGTACTGGATTCAGTGATAGTACTATGCAAAGTAAATTGTTAGTAAAGCTGCATGTTGGATGACACAAAAATGTGGCTGGTAGACAGGGGAAAATCTGAACTTTGTTTGATAGAGATTACCCATCAGAGTGTTCCGCTCCCGTGGTCTGCGACCAACTGCCTCTCCTTTTCATATTCCTTCGAGTACTCATTATGTAAGATCGAGATCATACCTTTAATTTGACTTATTATTGTCCAATCTAGGGTTCGTCCTCCGAAGAAATCTTGGAAACAAATCGAAAATTTATCGGGTGGAGAAAAAACACTTGCCTCCCTTTCACTTGTCTTCGCTCTGCATCATTATCGGTTGGTTTGCTTATCGCTTCTTTTTTTCAAAACTCTGCTGAGTCTATTTGCGTCTTGATACTGAAAAAATGTTTTAGGCCAACGCCTCTGTATGTCATGGACGAGATAGACGCAGCTTTAGACTTCAGAAATGTTTCCATAATTGCTCATTACATTAAGGTCTGTGGTGTATAGAAAAATTCTCATTTTTCACTGATTTGTTGATTTCCATTTCAGGATCGTACAAAAAATGCACAGTTCGTAATCATTTCTCTGCGTAATAACATGTTTGAACTAGGTGATCGACTAATTGGAATTTACAAGGTATAGATATATGTATGGATACACACGGATGTTGCCTGTTAAAGAGACTTTTCGGAAGAGGAAACATCAAATTTTCAGACCTTCGATCGTACTCAGAATGTAGTGGTTGATCCTCCACAAGTCATCAGTGTGCAAGAGGAATGCGCTCGTCGAGATCAGTTGGTCTTGACGAAGAGCAGCTCAATATCTGATGACGAAGAAGAGATGGAGGTCGACTCTGCCGCTGGAAAGCAGAATCCGACACCTACCTGCTCTCAGCCTAGGTCTGATATGAATGACGATAATAAAGAGGTTTGTATTTGTTTTATAAATCTCTTTTTTTTCTTATTGCTGAATATTCTTTGCTACATAATATTCCAGAATACGCCGGAGCCATCACGTGCCAGTAGCAGCGCCAGCGCTTCGCAACCGCATCGACTACCTCCTATTCAAGAGGCCCAGGAATTAGATTCGCAGGTACACATATTTTTTAGTCTTTATGCCATTCTCATGCATTAGAACTTCAAGTGTTCAAGTGTTCTTTTGTTCATCATTGTCTGAAAGAAGCCTTGTTGTGGTTGAGTTCGTTTTTGTGAGGCGTGATTATCAACAATTCGCGTTTGTTCACCGACGACTTAAGCTGGTACTCCCCAGTGGCCTCAGTCTGTTTGGATTGGAGTTGAAGCTCCCCTACTTGACTAGTCGGGAGGGGGGCGGGGTCTCGATGAGGTGATCTGTATGTTCAAGCCCCCATACTCATAACAGTCGCAGAATCTTTGCAGTTAACCCTTTTATTGTAGACGTTGCTATGAGTTTTCATTCGCAGAACTGTCCATCGATTAACAAGTACGGAAGCTACACTGTTTACTTTCAGGAATGACCTCTTGGAAGTACAGTTCACTTTCTGTTTTTCGCTAAGCCCTCAGGAAATTGGTTCGAAGCTTTTCTGGGACAGGGCTGTTTCGGTGTTCGCTACTGATCTATCATCAAATGACTGGTATTTAAATTTGCTTGATAACTTTAAGATTTCACTTCGTGATTGTATCAAATTGATGTTCTGTAAGAATGTATCATTGAGTTAGAGCTAAGGTGAACTTTGTAAAATTGTGTATATGAATTCCTTTTCTCTTATCGAAAAGAAGTTGAAGAATTCGTTCTCAAACTGATTTTCCTTATACTAGCATTCCTTCAAGCATGCCTCTGCGTTTTTGTATTTTATTTTTCAATCAGTAACTTAATTTTGCTACTTATACAGGCACTTGTTTGAACTTTTTAGGACAGGGAAACTATAAGGATTCATAGTTCAGTAGGGTGGTTCCAAGGGATCCTATTCAATGATAAGTACAAGGAGCAACCTTTAGACCGTTTTTCATGTCCATTTGTTTATTATCGTGTGAATATAAATTTATGTGCAATGACTTGACTTATACCAATTGCATTTTTCATAAAATATATGCTATAGCATAAAAGAATACATTACAAAATCATAATATGAAGTGTATAAGTAAGAGAAAACAATTTTATACAATATGAAGTTCAGGAATAATAGAGTTTCGTAGTATACTAGTCGCTATCTACAGAAACACAAGGTAAAAGCTAGTACTAGCCGGAATTTTTCGGTGACGACTGCAAAGATTCACTAATAAGTTTGATCAGGAGGTCATCGAGCTTCCACAAATCAAAGAATTGTATCACTTGATGACTTTCGAGACACTGCATACCGACTTCCTAAAGACTAAGGTGTAAGTAACCCTCAGAAGGAGACGGTTCCACATCAGGATGACTCACAAAAATGTTGCCAACGAGCAAGATTACATTGCCTGTACGGACAGCGACATCCTCGGCTGACATTCCCAGATTAGCGTAATGATTTGAGAGAGCTACGAAGATGAGATCGATTTGTGAGTTGAGACATCTCTTCAGAGACGATGAAATGTTCGTGCTCACTAAACTATGGACTCTGACATTACGTGAACAAGCAATTACTGTATTTACGTGTCCAGTAAGTCCAGCCTGATCCAGGGTTGACTGCAGCATCATATATGGCCTTACTATTGAATTTTGTGACTAGGAAGGCCTTAGTGAACTAACTTTTTACCTCGTTAATATAATAGGAATGGAGTCTTATAATTGATGGAAGACGCAGGAAACATGGCGTATCTCGAAGGAGCTGGTTGTCGTCAGAAAGTACTCTGTTTGCGCAGTACTGTAGTAACAACTCACGAGTGCTTTTGAATGTGACGAGGGCTTTGAGAATGACGTATTCCACGAAGGAGATATTAATTGCTTGCATTGGACGAACGATGTCGGCCAGAACTCGATCCAGGAGTGGACGATATAACCTGAAGCGGAAAAATCCAGTCGACTGCCTCACAAGGATGGCTAGCTGTGGACAAAACTTCAGCATCGGAAGGGAGTCGAACCCGTACCTGTGCTTTTCGGGGGAGTTGGGGTAAGCGGAATCTCAGAAGCGAAAAAATGAACACCCAAGTACGGGTTCCAAAGTCGTAAGTTTTGCCCACAACTACCAACTCAAAAACATACTCTTTCTTGAGGGTAGCCGATATGCAGGATTCGTCTCTCCATCCTTCTTCTGAGTCCACAGCTATGCCAGTGAACATACCGTTGAACATGACAAATCTGAATTCGGCTAGTTTTAGACGTCTCCCACTTCTGAAGGTGAGTACGTTTCCCCAGAAGCTACCCTACCTATCAGGCAGCCCGAGCCTCATCGTCAGATAGCAGGGATCAATGATTGGGTGAAATAATGTACATCGACGTAGTAGTATTTTCTGAAATTGTCGGTTAGAAGTGATGGTAATCTGCAAGTGAGCAATGCCTCTTGCATTTGCCCGAAAAGGAAGGATACACAGATATATAGATGGGGGAAGCACAGATTACCTTATCTGAGGTACTCAAACACTTGAAGTGATTCCATCCTCGCATCCATTCGTAGGTAGCCAATATCTGTGCCCGAATATCCTTTCGCACACCGGCAAAGGTGAGTTCGGTAAGATCTCTGGATGAGAACGGCTGGAAATAAGAAGTTTTTCAAGCTGTAGCCGCCAGTAGAGTGTTGCAACTCACGATGTCATTCACTTCACCGGCTGAGAGTATCTCTGATATGCTGCTCTTCACGCAGTATAGGATACTCCGTCGTTCATTGTACAACCGCTCTTCTCTCAACAACATTTCAAGCACACCCTCTCCTGTTTCCCTGGAAATAGCAATGAGACACCCTTGAACTCTCTTGGGTGCTCTTAACGGAAAGCTCACTGGAGCGAATGTGGCTGTGGGTCGTGTTCTTCGGAAATGGACGACGATGAATGTGACGGGGTGTCAGGAGAGAATACAGATGATTCCTAAAAAACGTTCAAAATCGTTGGAATCGAAACTTGAGATTCCATTCTTTCTATGGAATGATTACAAAAATGAGAATGGATCACTGTCTTCAAACGATAGGGTTCACCGGTGCCTGACCGAAAGTTTAGGTTTGCCAAAAGGGTGGCGGATGAGGAGACTACAGGCGTTCGCTATGAAAAAGTGAAATCCCAGATGATCTTTGTTCCAACAACTTCTTTGGAATCTGTAGTTTCATAGTCTCCCCACCTCCTTTCCCCTTCCCAGATCCCTTGTTCATCCTGACGAGATTCAAATTCCCTCCATTTCCTGCGTACAGTAGTTCCCACAAATCGAACGAACGATTTCGATGGTCAAATCGCTTTTTCAAAGTGTTTCGGTAAAAATCGGATTTTTCCAGTGTCGAGGGGGCAGTAAAGAGTAAGATTCCTAATTGCTCAGAAATGACAGCAGTGGTTTTCCATCCTACAATAAACTTTTCAGCCATCGAAATAGTTACAACACTAGGAAAATTCCGTCTTGTACTCCGCTCATCGGAAGACGGTTAGGTTTGATCCCCCACCTCATTTTTTTCGAATGTCACAAAGGTTATTTTACCGCTAGTGTTGTATTCCAATGTCTTTTAGATGCAGGGAAATGAAAAATCGGTTAGTGCTATACTTAGAGCCTTACACTAGTTGTCACCGAAGCCCACTGCTTCGATGGAGATGCCCTCTTTGAGTATGAAATCTTCCGACGGCCGTTGTTGCTATCACGTCGCGGTTGAACTGCTGAAAAGAGGGTTCACCTTGGTAAGGACGGACAGGTCGATGGGCTGTTAGAAGAGCTGTTCACTTACCTTGTCTTTCCATTCCCATTTGTATGCATTTCGCATAGCGACACGCTCGACAGATGACCCGCATCTCTAAATCGTGGAACTCATGTCAATTAGGGAGCTTTTAGAGATTTTATATTGCTAATTGTAGGAAACCACACAGCCAGAGGGCATTCTGAAAATAAAGTGTACTTACCAAAGTGTACTTTGCAGTTGCCCTGATGAGCGCAGAGGAAATGCCGACCCAACGTTACAGTCCTCCTGTTGAAAAAAAGTCTGACACAGAGTCTTCCTTCAAAAGAATGTATCTTGAATACCTGAAGAAAGCGGCACATGCTGAGCATGACGGAGCGTTGAAGTGGTAGCCATTTGATGGAGCACTGCAGATGGTGCACTGACGGGTGGGTGATGGTGTTCGAACCGGCCACTCCCGACATTCTGCAAAGACGATTACTTTTCTTACCGGGTATTTCCCAAATTAAATATCAGGATTTGAGTTTATACTCGATTTTACATAAAAACGAGATCTTCGAGTATACCTGGGGGAATTCAGTTGGAGTTACTGAGCATTATTAGAGAAGGTAAACGAACAGTAAGACTATAAACAGTCTTTAGAAAGGATTGTTGGGTTTACTACCTTCCTGAGGACCATGATGACAACTTTTACACTTTTTGCCTTTCATTAACAAAGTTCTTCCACTGTAGGAAAGTTGTACCGACATTGATTACGGAAGAGAGTTCCTCACTGTAGTGGTTACGCTTAGGGGTTGAAGGACGTTGTAGGCTCTTACCCCAGCACATCCCCTTAAGTTCGTCCCAAATACTTCTTAAAAATGAAAGGCTCAAGTTTACAACGACTAGAGCACCTACCTGTCTGAGCGTAGTTCGGTATGGGGTAGAAGAACTCGTGCTTGATAGAAGCCAGTTTGTCTGAAAATTTAGGTATTGAATAGGAAAAAAAAGCATTCAGAAGTTAGAAACCTTACGGAGTACTGTTAGTACTGCTGACAACGTAGAAAAATATGAAAGATGATCAATTATTGGTATCCGATAATGCTTTGTTCTAGTGATGGTGCAGGTTTTTGTCAGGATATTAAGAAAGGGAGTTTCCTGGTCCCATCTGTTCAATACTTCCCACTGGAAATCAAAGTTTAAGATTATTCCTATACTTCATTCCTCATGTGACCATCTATGCCTGTGCAGATGCCAGCTGTCATGGCGCTCCCTTTTTCTGTGAACGTCATAAACAAAACTGAATTTTATCACTGTTGTGGTGGTACCAATTGCGGTTATTTTCAAAAGTTCGCAAGATTACCAATCCTTGATCCCGACGAAATACGATTTTGTCGGCTTTGCCTGCCCACCGTAGTTCCCAAGGACTGATTTCGGTGATCAAATTGTATTTCTATCGTCCATGCGAGCAAAATCGGGTTTTCTTAGCGTTTAAGGAATACTAATAGGAAATGTCCCCAAATGTCTGCAAAAGGTAGCTTGGGTAGCCTTTCCTGCAAAACTCATTAAGTCATTGGGCCATCAGGAACACTAGGAAAACTCCTATCTGATTTCAGAGACATAGGGAAGACTAACAGTCTCACCTGAAACTGGCCCAAATTGCAGCAAGAATTCCGGAACTTCCCTACACTACCGTAAGTATCGCCATCCTTATCTCCAGACAAGAATCATTTGTTCAATATCAATACCAGTATAGAACTTAGGTAAAGCCAGCAAACCAAGCCACAATCTGTGTACGTTGCAACTCCCAACCCCTTCTACCACATACACCTTACGAGTAGACGACTATCCCATCATTCTCTTCTCAAGTGAGCATACTTTTCGAAACTAGTAGTTGTATGATTATAATACCCTTTTATGCACCTTATAGCAATTTAAATTCCCTCCTTTCCCTGCGTACAGTATCGACCCAAAAACGATTTTGGTAGTCAAATTCTGGTGTTCGTTCGTATTCCTAATAATTTCGATTTTTTCCCAGTTTTAGTTTCCCAGAATAGTAGTGATAGGGAAAGTTTTAAATTTCTTACAAAGAACACAGGAGGTACTTCATCTCACAAAAGTTATTCAGCTGAAGGAGTAGTAGGAACCTTAAAAAAATTCTTTTTCGGATCCCTGAATCTCATCGACAGCAGACATGGATCAATGACGTCAAACCCTTTAGTCAGAGGCTCTAACCGAATTTGACAGAAACATTTTTTTTT